ATATATTTAATTATTTATTTTTATTTATTTATTTATTTTTAAGATGATATTTTAAATTAATAATCAAATTTAATTTTGATTCAATTAAAGTCAATTCAACTTGACTCAGTTTTGTTATATTTTATTCAGTCTGAGGTTCAGTTTGATTTGACTCAAGATTCAGCTTGATTCCAATGCTTTCAAGATTCAATTTGATTTGATTTACTTCTATTCTGTATGTGACATAATCAGATCTATAATTGTATTCCATTGTCAAATATGATATGCGCTCTTCGTGTCTGTTTTAGGATGCTTTGCTGTAAATTGTCAACAGATCTAGCCACCTAATGCAACTCACTCTAGCGTTTACAACAGGACCTGTGTTGGTAATGAAGAGATTTTCCACATGCTTGTGGTGCAATAACATCCACAGAACACATGCTGTTTTGTAGACGGGTGGGACTCATTTGGCACTGCAAGGTTGTATGCTGATTTTGCAGTGTGTTTGTGTGTGTGGGAGTGGAGGGGGGTGGTATTTGTGAGAATGCTGGGGGTAATGAAATGTGCGTGGGGTAGAGTGAGAGAGAGATGCTAATGACTGCGAGGCGTGCAAGCGTGTGTGTTTGTGTGCTGTCAGTTTGCAGCTGATCTCTGACCGCTACTGTGGTCACCAGCCCTGTAGAGAAACGCTCGCAGCAGACAAATGGACAGACATGTGGAACATGTCATGAGCCTATGACCCCGGCTCTGTGTTTTCCACTTGTTTCTCCCTCATCTGTCCTTCTCTACATTCCTCTTATCTTCTGTCAGTCGTTTTCCGCGATTTAATGATTGGATTTGTTTGGCAACAACACAACTTGGTCCGTAAGAATATTCACTGAATGACTCCTGGATGATAAATTAAATTAACACCACATGCAAAACAGAACCACGCTGTGGTATCACATAGGGTTTATGATAAAACGCTGTCCACACAATAAGAGAAGATACATTGTTTCCAAATAATGCACACTTAAAGGCTCGTACAACCGCATGATAGAATCAACTAACTTTCCCCTCATGAGGTAAAGTTTAGACAAGCCTTGTGAAAGATTATGCATGTGTGTGTTTGTTTGTTTGCATGCATATAAATGTACACATATGACATACGACAACAGCGCATTAATCACCTGCATGCATATTTGTGCATATGAGTGTGTTTCCAGTGAATTATTGTAAGTAGACATTTGTAAAGGTCAGCATATCCTCTCCTGGAATATTTCTGCATGTATTTGTGTGTTTGGAATAATGATGAGCTTGACACTGTGTGTTTGCGAATGATTGTTCTGTGCGGTGGGTCACATATGTCTCACCTGTTTATGGGGATTTGTTGAGCCTACAGGAAGAGCCACTGGCTACAGTAATGGAGGTGCAGACGGGGAAACCACATTACACTGAACAGGAAAATGGTCAGACTGATCTGAGACAGATGAGGACGTGGATGGCAGGACAAATCGAGCAGTGATGGGAGGAGACGGACTGCCAAACATGTTTTCTCGCCGGTCCCACAACACACAGCGGCAGATCTGAGCTGACTGTTGTGCTGAGATCTGGTGACGACACGCATGCGATTTTGTGAGAGGTGAAAAAAATTTTTTTTTGTGTGTGTGTGTTTTTTTTTTTAATAAACGATATACTAACATGCATTCATTGTGATATGGACAATGTGAAGTGGTAATCATGCATTTCTGAAAAGAGAAAAACAGTTTTAGATATCTAAATATAAGAAGAAAGCATTCCATGTTTGGAAATGTGCATGTAAAATGATTTTTTTTTAAGGTCATACTGAATTTTCTTTCACAATGTTGACCGTATATACAGTATGTACACATATAAAAACTGGAATATTTTGAAATAATACATATTGTTTGCATAATAGGACTAGGTGTTATAATTCCAATATTCAGCTCTATTTAGCCGCACCATAGACCATTATAACAGTTATAATTATTTAAATACAGTTATAATTAATAACTGTTGTCAATTTTAATACATTTTAAAATGTAAATTATTTCTGTGATGGCAAAGCTTAATTTTCAGCAGACATTACTCCAGTCTTTAGGTCACATTATCCTTCAGAAATTATTCTAATATGCTGAATTGGTGCTCCATATACTATTTTTATGGAATATTTGTGGAAACCATGATGCATTTTTTTTTCATGATTCTTTGATGAAGTGAGAGTTTAAAATAACAGCATTTAATTTAAATATTTCTACATTTACATTTATTCATTTAGCAGATGTTTTTGTCCAAAGCAACTTACAAATAAGGAATATATGACAAGCAATTCATCAAAGTTTCAGTGCAATATTCAAGCAATCACAACTGGCTGAAACATGAAATATAACATCTACATCACTATATTCACAACACACTAGACAGAGTTAATGTGTCAGGGACGCATCCCTGTCAAGCCGCATTATGCCACTGTGGCAAATAAATCCTGACTTGCATCCCCTCTCTAATGAATGTATCAATGATATATGAACAGATATATTTTTAGCCGCCTGCACAGACTGGCTTTTCTGGAGAGAATGTCTAATGCAATGTGAAATCTGTTATTGCCACAAAACTGTTTTTTATTGCCATAGCTCCATCTCTTGAGGTTTGCTTTAAAAAAAAAGTGTGACATGAGAGCATGTACTTGAAATGTGAGGCAAAAAGAAGGTAATGTGTTACATTCATCTGTGGTGTTACATTTAGAATGTGTACTATTGTTCACAGTCAGGGTTTGTGATTAGAGCAAATCTCTAATTACACTTTGGCTTTTAACTCATCCCTGAATGTTTGCGCTATGGACATAAGTGATATCTCCAATTATGTGGCTGGATGATGTGCAATTTCCTTTTTTTAATATCTACAGTATAGACCAGATTATCATAGAGAATTTGGGTGGATATATATATATATATATATATATTTTATTTTTTTTTTACTTGGGTCAGTAAGCAACCCAATAGCAATGCACTGAAATTCACACAGAACATCTTGAGGAGCAACGGCAGAAAATTAGCCTATCATATTAAAAATCAATTTTGATTAATCTACTGTTTGTCTGAATTAACAAGGGCTGAAAGCCAATTGTTCATATACTCTTCTCTAATACAGATAATCTGAAAATGACAGGACAACATTATTTACAAATTATTAAGATAAGAGCAGTGTAAAGTGTGGCATACAGAGAAGCAGGTCATGACGTGTGTTGGCAGGATAGACGGGTAGTAGGTTGGGATTGATTTATGGCCTGATGCCTGAGAGGCAAAGCAAAGCAACCCTGGGAACCATCTGTGCCTTCAGTTACAGATTCAAAATCTGGAATCACTTAAAAGCTGGACGGTTTTTTTTTTTGTTTGTTTTTTTTGCAGAATTAAGTTATTTGCTGTCACTTTTTTTTCTGATTTGGACTAAAGACATTATTTTGTAAATGTGCCAGAGCCACTTTCTACCCCTTCCATCAGTGAATACATTGAGTCACATTGTCACAAAGCAAGGCCAGACACAACAGGTAAGTGCAAAACAGGATTGTTTATTGACTGGGTAAGTGGATGACTGGCATAGGTGAGTTAAAGGCAGGTGAATGTCAACACCGTGAATGGTTCCAGGATGCTTATCTGAGTTCTGATGGAGAGGATCGTATGCCGGTTACATTGGAGATCATGGAGCCATTTCCAAGGAGTCATTGGAGGATCATGGGAGGAACAGCAGGTAATTCGTTCTAGGAGAATTTGGCAGAGAGAGTCCAGAGTAGTTCGTAAGAGTGAACGGTAGACTGGACAGTGAGTGACTGTGCTGTGTGTGTATTTGTAGTGTGGCTTGATTGGTGACAGCAGGTGCGGGTGATCAGAACTCAGGTGACTGTGATCGGGTAATTATCCTGGATGGTGACTGAAGTGACTGTGATTAATCCCTGACACACATAAAGTGTTAAAGAAGGAGTAAAATTAAACCAGAGGTGATTTTATAATAATACAAAAAAAGTAAAAGTAAAACCAAATTTAAGGCATCATTACATGTATCCTTCACAGATAAAGAAGTCTCAAAATGGATTACAATATATCTTAATATATATCATTCATGTATGAATGCATTATGTTTTTCATAAGGTGTGCCTTCATTTTATTATAATTATGTGTAATATTTTGTTCGAAACCCCAATTTAAGAGCGCAGCTTTGATGTCAGCTGATCTGAAGCAATGCAGAAATGCAGAAAGACATCAGGCCTCCATTCTGAACGTTAGGAGTTTTCATAGAGAAGAGAACAGCACTACAGACGTAAGAACATTCAAATTTCATATCTCTATACGAACAGCAAAATCTCACATGGCTACACATTTTCATAATGAACTACATGCACCTTTGAAACCGAGCTATATTCAGTGCACAATCACAAATGAAGGTTGTTTGTGATAAGTATGCTACAGCAATCAGCCATTGATAAACATGGACTGTAATTATTTGGTCGCATCAGTCCGGGCCTCAGCGGTATCAGTTAGAGTCACGGTAACTTGATGCTTTAGTGTGTCAATTGAATGTGATGTAACCAAATTTAAATCTTGAAATGCCCCCAGCACATAATAAATAGCCTAATAATCAATACTCATTGTGCAGTTTAAACCAACAGTCCCCAGATGCTGTTAAAAGCAACATTCTCTTTTCCCACAAAGCCACAGATCATTTCAGCGCAATTTGGATATCATTCTCTTTGGCCGCTTGCATCCTGTTTTCCACAAATATTTTACAATACAATGCAGATTTATATCTTGCCTTGTTTTTCCATAATTATCTTCATATCTCAAGCTTTTATAAGAAAGCCCATTTCCACATTTCTGGCAGGGCGAGACGCACATAAATGTGTTTCATTGAGAAAAAGGCAGCAAGAGGAGATTCGGGGTGTAGTAAAAGAGAATTACTGCCACAGAATTAGAATACGGCTCATAATTAGAATAGGAATTTTGCCACTGCCAAATTATCAGAATTATTTGCAGCTGAGAGCAGAGGGGAGATGGGCACTGGGGTACTTTAACCTAATCGAAAGCATGAAAAAAAAAGTGTTCCACTTAATTAGCGGATCTCGTTTGACTAATAGCTAACCGTTCCTTCTTTTAATGCAGTGAAATTCCGACATATGAGAAAAGTGCTTGAGTCTCTATAAAAACAGAAACGTGGAGTATGTGAATGTTTCACACACTGATTCACCCCTCCAGTGTTCTGGCTCTTACGTCCAAACACACTTCCACACCCCATGTATGAAAGGAAGCCGAGTTCAAGCCAGCACAACATGTGTGTGTTTATAGGCTGGTTGTGTCTGTCGGTAGGGAATCTCACATGGTAATGCCCAGACCCACTGAGTCTAATAAACACAGTGGAAACATGAAGTCTGTGAATGCACCTGGGATCCACTGAGAGCGATAAGTGGGCATAAAGCAAAACCTGGGCATAAAGTTTCTTACTTTCATAGCACAAGTTCAATGCTTCCTAGCGCTGCATTGGTGGAATTTAGCAGGCAATCAGTCATCAATTAATCAAGATGTGATCTTGAATATCCGAACTACTGAAATAGGAAAATAAACATAAAGCCTGCCCAGAACCAGAAAATGTCTGTAATTTAACCTGAAATTAGTCAATTAATTTTGCAACAATGGTTTCATGCAACTAGGCCATAAACCACACCTAAGATCAAATAAACACCATAACCAAGAAATGATGTGGAGTGTACATATTTGGATTAACTTAACAAAAAACAGACAAACTTTTAATTCATTAAAGTTACAAATACACCTTAATTATATACAAAATTAAATGTTGTGAAAACATTGAAAAAACAAGGTTCATAAATTACTTTGCATTAAAACAGTGTTATAGTGTTTTTAAGTAATCAAATGTTTACACGACAAATTTTACATACTGTTACAAAATTTACATGAAACAGCAATGTTTATGAAACATTTTGTATACATTTGTGTGTCCTACCAGCCACAGCCACCTTCTATTATTAAATTTGATATCATGATCGACTTATAAATTTGATAATGGTACAGTTACTTTTGGAGTATATAATATTTGCTATATTAAAATACTTATCTGATGTATCTGTTAGTGGTTTATGAAGGAATATAAAATACCTCATCTCCCCTCCTGCTGGTAGTTGTGTGTGCTTTATTTATGATGCTATCTCAAATTCACCGCTCTCCAAAAATGTGCTACATTTCTTTATTATATCCAGTCACACAGTGTTTATACAATGCAAGCATTTATTCATTCATTTTGATCTGCCATGCTAATCTGCTAACTAAAGCCACTCAATGAAACCTCCACTCAACACACAGAAAAGATATGGTCTCTTATTCAAACATAGAACCATGTGCCCTTAAACCCGAGAGCAGTCACCCAACAGAAGCCTCAACACAAATGCATAAGACAGGACAGGAAGGACATTCAGAGGGATGTCAGAATGCCACAAAAAAAAAAAATGCAGGTTTTGACCCACTATTCACTGAATAAATCTGTACAGACCGCTGTCGCTGCAAATCCTGCTCCATATTACCAAATCCAAACCCACTGCGG